AGCTGGTGATATAGCTCAATAGCAGAGTGCTTACCTACCACTTATAGTAGGGTAAAGCAGCTTGTAGTGAAACACTTCATTAATATTTCCTCTCCATTCAAAATGATCAGGTAACTATTAGCACATATAAGCTGTGTGTCTATGGAGCTTAAGAAGAGATCAGTACACTGTTGTTAATTATTACTTATTCCTCCGGTAGAGATTAGAAACTTCTCATTGGTAAAGGAAATATTCTTTATTCTAGTCAGGGATCATAATCACTTTGTTTCTCAAGGATTAACCTATCTGCAAATGGCACTTTATTCTTTAGATGAATTAGCTCATTTAAGACTATTTACCAGTGGGTAGTTAGAATTAAGTATTATATAGATAAGAGACTGGAGAGTGATTGGATGACCTCCTTGGTACCATCTAGAATGATATGTATTGTATCATTTAGAAGATATGTTGCATACATATGGTATACACATTACATTATATGAGAGATTCATGCATTACATGAAAGGCTCAGGTTCAAGTTTCCAACTCTCTGACTCTTGTTCTTTCTTCTATATTATCTAAGTACATTTATCCTGAATTTCATAGAATAATTTTTTTTCAAGTGAAACACACCGTGGATGTGAAAACATGTTATCACAGGTTCTTGCAAATCTGAGGCAGGAAGATTGTGAATTCCAGTCCTGCTTGGGTAGTGTAGTAAGACCCCCATCTAAACAAAAAAACAAAAGTAGAGCAGAAACCTGTTCTATCTTCATTTAGTGTCACTAAATAGAATGGTATTTGTTCAAAGAATTGAGTTTCTTTTGGATCCCAGCTATGTCACTTGTCTCATAATTTAAGGTCAAGTGTGTTTTGTTTTTGAGGCAGGGTCTGCAGCCTCTACATCTCCCTACATCAGCCTCCCATACACAGGGACTACAGGCATTTGACATCATGCTCAGCTAAAGGTGAGCTTTTAAAAGTCTAAAAGCACCCCAGAAGCAACAATGCACCAGGCACAGCTACAGCAGGCTTGCTGCACAGTGTAAACTGGTCCAACTCACATCAGCACTCACGGCACCTGCTGCTCATCCTATGCTATATCCCTCTTGAGTCCAAGGCTGTCTACTGCCTTCATAATTACATTTCTCATTAGCTGCCCCACCCCCAAAGGTGAGTCTGTCTAGGCACAGATCTGCTCTGCAGATAAGAGAAAGGAGGAAGAATTTACTAGACTCACTTAGCGGCTGGTTGGGATCAAGTTCACTGCCATCAGAACAAGAAAAGCAAGCCCATTCCTGAAGAACTAAATGATGGAGGTCACAACAAGTAAATTAGGTGTTAAAGCACTTGGAACGCAGCCATGCTGAGGACTTTGTCTGGGATACTCAGAAAGTCAGCTTTAGTTTTTTTCCTTGGGTCCCATCATCACCTTGAACATGTAAATATAAAGAAGCTGCTCATTGAAGCCCTTCCAGTGTAAAGGGTTAGAATCAGGCACCCCACTGATTTGGAAAACTATTTGCAAAGGTTATACCTTCTCTGAATTTGTGGATCATTACATGGGAAATTAGTTAAGTTTAATCTAGCATGAACTAGATTTATAACAAACATGTTTCAATCATTTCTACTCCGTAAGCAACATTTGGATAAGGAGATCCACAAATTAAACAGAATTCCATTCATATTTGTATTATACCTTACTATTCTGAAATGTAATGATATTTTAGCAAGACATCTAAACAAGAGTTTGCCAAGAAATCAATGTGTGTGAGACACACACTGACTGCTAAGTCTTTCTCCCTATTCCTCCCTGTTTCAGGAGTGTAATAATATAGCTACACACTGCATCAAGAGCTCTAGTAAATTACTATCAGCACTCTGCTATTCTAATGTTCTTATTATACCAATTCCACAATAATTCACACAAGTAAAGACTCAGGAAGAACTTTCCTTTTGTTACAATAAGCTTATTATACAAATGTTCTATTCCTCTTCCCCTTGAAATAGGAATTAGTTTGCATTTGGTATCATTTCCAAAGGCTAAGCAAGCAAACTGTGGTCTCTACTAAGTCACAGTTACAACCAGTAAAATTGTCACTAGTGAGTTCTAATCTATAAATTAGTTCTAATCTAATCTGCTTGGTACTAAGTAATGGACATCAAAAGGAACACTCCATGTCTTCTAGGGTCACTCTCTCAAATGAGAAATTCTGACATTTGCAAACACAGAAAAGACCAGCATAAAATATTGCAGTAGTGTATGCAGACAGACATGATGGACTGTATAGGAAAAGGCTAAGTATGCACTGGCGAGGGGTGAGTGGGTTCATGAGCAGTCATGAGTTCCTTAGCCCAAGGAACTGTGGTAAACTGAAACACATTAGCCCTCACAGAGGACTTACGCAAATAAAAAATAATTCACACAAGTGGACATAGACTCCCAAGTAATGAACAAATACCCAAGTCCCCAAGAGAACATATACTTTTTATTTCCAAAAACAATTATAAATTTCAGAGAAGTTGGTATATGGTGCCACCTCTAGAAGGGATGTATATGATGAGCGTGGAAGGCATGATGAGACAGGAGAGGACAATGGGGAAGAATGAAGTGCAAACATTTAAACCCTTACTTACTTGGTCTAACAGTTGGTGAAGAAGCCAGGGTTATATGGCAGTGGTTCTCCCTTTGGGAGCTGTATATCAGATATCCTGCATATCAGATAATTACATTACAATTCATAATAGTAGCAAAACTACAGCTATGCAGCAGCAATGAAATAATTTTATGGTTGGGGTCACCACCAGATGAAGAAGGTATTAAAGGGTAGCAGCATTAGGTACATTGAGAACACTGCTATAGGAGAAGCTAATCCAGCCTTACAACTATTTGGAAGAGCTATTAGATTCCAAAATGCATTCTGCAAAGCAAGTCCCTTCCTCGGAACATTTTAAATCTTCCTGTCCTATTTAGATTCCCCATTTGCAGGTATTCCCATGACACTTGAGATGGCTTTGTCCAGCACTTACTCTGTAGACCAGACTGGCCTTGAACTTACACAGATCTGCCTACCTCTGCTTCCTAAATGTTGGAATTAAAGGTGTGTACCATCACCACACGGTGAATATCAATTTTTAATGGTTATTTTATTGCTTCACTCATTCAGAACACACAATAGAAGACACTATTATTTTAAAACTCAGAGAGAAATAAATTCAATTCTTCAGTTCCAGGTTGTTAAATATGGTCTCTGTGATACAGCACACAGAGTTATAACACAAAGTAGACAATGATAAGAGCCATATGTGATCCTCCTCAGTTCAA